GAAAAAGATCTAATAATTTCGGCCCCGTTTTCCCAAAATTAATTTCAAGTAGTAATAATCAAAAAAGTGCTTCAAAATTTTGTTTCATAATATTTTAGACGGTTCATTCAAATGATACATTGATAAGGCATTTATTCATTGTGTTTTGACAAAATGCAATTTTTGCAAACTTTAAGGCTTAATCCTCGTTTCGATGTGACGGGTCACATTTAAAGAGCATTAAATAGCCATCATCAGAGCAGAGTGGGACAACACTTCATGTCCCTTTGTGAATAAAACGTGACTCATATGAGATTTTCATTCATTACGTTCAGTTTTTTATCTACATTTGACAGAAGTGTGGTTGTAGGTCTAACAGAGCGTCAGGCAGGATGCAGACTGGATGCTTGTAGAAGGTTTGAAGAGAGCGACGAAGAATGTCTGAGGTCAGATGATTGTAGAGCAGCTCTGATGGTTTGTGGATGTGAGGAAGAAGGAATGCAGATGGAGAAAGATGGGAGGATTAGGAAGGCTGAGTTAGGACAGAGCGAGGTGGAAGTGGGGGGGTGGTCTGTGGGGGGTGTTAGTATGTGACCAGAGGGGACACAATTCAACCAGCTCAACAGAAAATAAAAGACTAATTTCCTTTTTTCGCGCTGAATGTTCGGAGCAGGAAGTGTTTCCGAGTCGACTTCCTGTCCTGCAGAGCGACGGTCCGACCTACCCAATCTGAAATACTGTATTTATTCTTTCTTTCTTTTTTCTTTTATTTATTTCTTATTTCACACAGCCGTCGTTGGTCCACAGAGAGACGTGAAGCCTTTGTTTTTAAACTTGATCAACATGTTGAATGTTTTTTTTAAATATAACTTCTGGTAAAACACTGAGACTAGAACTGTGCTGTGTTTAAGATCTTTTAGAGCAGGGGTTCTCAGCCATTTGGGTCTGGAAGACCCCTTACAAGGGCGAAAAAAATTTCAGGGACCCCCTCATAAATACCGTGCCATTTTAAAAGATAATTTATTGTCAATTCAACCCCTAAATGCCATGGGACTATATAATGTTAGTAAGTTTTATTATGTTTGCTTTATTAGTTCATTGTTCTCCATGCATTTTTTAAAATAAAAATCAAATTAACAATTTAGTCAAATTTTTTGAGGACCCCCAAGATACCTCTCGCGGACCCCTGGGGGTCCAGGGACCCCAGTTTGAGAACCTCTGTTTTAGAGTTTGTCAGGTTTTTTTATACAGTAGGAGGGGTGTGTGTGTGTGTGTGTGTGTGTGTGAGAGTGTGACAGTTCTATTACAGTTTCAGTTCTGCTGTGTTCATTCATCAGATCAGGAGGGGATGTGTGTGCTCTGATTCATGTGAACCATGATACGGAGCAATGAAACCACAAAAGCTAAGACTACTGACACACACACACACATACACACTCACACACACACACACAGTCCAGTGAGTGCCTCGCTGCCACTCTTCCTGTTCAGAGATAAACACGTTGGTTTCAGCTGCTGAGTTCAGAGGTCCTAAACTCGTCACTTTTTCTGTTTTCTTAATTTCCAGCGACGGTTTGAAAACTGTGAAGAAGACTGTGGCTGATTTTGTCAGCAAAATGAATAAAAGTCAATAAAAGTTATCTGTTGTTTACTTGTTTTTGTCTCTCTCGCTCCATAAATCAGAAACATCATCGCTGAGCCAGAAACCTAAAGTGATTTATTGACTTAATTAATCTGTTGCTTTAAATTCTCAGAATGTCTGAAAACCAACAATCCGTTTATTTTTTGGAATAAACAGATTTCTTTTGTCACTCTGACTTGAGGATGTTTCCGTTTATATATCTGTGTACACTGGCCCACTTCCTCTTCCTTTCCTGCCTTCAGTGAACTCACTTCCTCCTAACGGAGCTGCTGCTCACCGGGACACTTTCTCTTTTATTTCAGCAGATAATCTGAAGCTCGGGGGGCACCGACTGAACAGATACTCTCACGTTACACTTTTTACGTCCCGATTCTTCCTGGTGTGTGACTTATTTTATTTATTTATTGTTTTAGTGAGCCTTTCAGAGCGCCCTCCCCTCTCTCTGCTCATGTTTGACTAACTGCCAGCAGCTGTTGCTCATTTCACCGAGGTCCCGCCCAGCCCAGGCAGCCAGAGGAGCTCGGCACATGAAGTGAGCAGCACAGCTCCGTTAGAGGAGGAACCACCGAGGATCTCCTGCTGGTGAGAGCTTTCATTTCCTTTACATTAAAATTAAAAAGAAGTTTTTGTGTGTCAGGAGTTTCCTGTCGGGTGTTTTGTTTCARTTTGTTAGACCTGCAGCTCAGCTGWGGCTTTGTTTTCTTACTGAGTTCTCTGTGATGTCAGAGTCTTATCTCCCACCACATTCCTCTCGTTCCCCTCTCAGCCTCAGGATTCTCCCACAGACACGAGAAGTGGCGTCGCACTCTGCTGTCCAGGAGTCTGGGAGCAGGTCTCTGTGAGGTGGCAGCTGCTTTGAGACAACTTACACTCAGCAGCTGTTGCTGTAGGCAGATAAGCAGAGTTTCCCTGGAGATAACGTTTCTGGTTTTCTGGCTGAACTCAGGTTTAGTGACAGCGGTGTAGGAGTGAGCTTAAAGTGAATTAAGCTTTTCTCACATCTCTCACGGTTATGAGGAAACTTTTACCAAGGTATTTCTCATTACTTGTTAAAATCTTGACTGTGCGAAGTGAAAAGTGACACAATAAGTGAACGTTCAGACGAGTTCAAGTTGATTCATAGAAGACTATGCAATCATTTATTTACACAAACTGAACAGATCATAAGTTACACTTGATTGTGGTTATTCCTATAACAAGCGTCAGAGTTAAATGAGATTAAACCCGCGTCCGAATTTCAATTCACATCAACTCTGATTACTTATATCGAACAGTAAAACATCAGTTCTGATGTTAACAACCAAACAATTTTACTGGCACTTTTAGCTTAAGTTTTGGCAAATTAAGAACAAAGAAAGGAGGAAAGTAAGATTAGTATGTTACTACGACTTTTACTTTTGTCAAAGTGTGGGTCAACCGGAACTGCACGTCTTTTCTAAGCTCAGGTTCCACATGACACGTCACTCCGAACACATCAGCTTTTACCTGGTGATGACTTCTTAAGGCACCCTTGGGGTAGGAGCTGGCTCGCCTCCGATCAGTCAGGGAACTGATGTTGGCTCGCTTACCGGTCATTGGCGAGCAGGTGTTTTTACAGGTAACTTTCGTCTGTTTCAGTCCAAGCCAGAAAAATTCAAGCAGTATCCGGTTCCTTCTTTCCAAAATAAAATCTCTCCTTGGGATTTAAAAACACTCAGAGGCTCAACCTCGGGGTGAGACCACCGGCAGGCGTGCCGGGTCCCTGGCTGTGAAGTCTTCCCTAGTTAGCTCATGGGATCAGACCTTAAGCCAAACTGGGGTTTCTCCGGAGAGAATCCCAGCTGTCTTCCTAGGTTGGAATCGGGGAGAAGAGTGTGTCGCTCAAAGCCGTCCGGGTTAGTAAAAAAAACGGACGAACTTTGGTTCCGCCCTCAGGCTTAAGAGATGAGTCAGAGAAAGAAAAAGATTTGCCAGCGGCGCCAGCCCAAGGTTAAAATTCTGTGGTTGTTCAACAACATGATCTGATAACCTCTTTTCAGCTTTCTTCTGATGGACTAAGAGAAATCACTGCAATATATTTATGATGATTAATTAACATTTCTGTTTTATAATCAGTTCTGAACCTTCTRTTAGTCCAGATAAATGAAAGATTTTCTCAGGAAAAGTCCACAATTATATTACTGGGTTCACAGTAAAATAAAAACAGTGATTTACATAAAAACACAATGAAAACATTGTAATCAGATTCTCTGTGATTTTTTTAAACCCTTGTAAATCTTTAAGGCACGATAAAAGAAAAGAAGTGGTTCCACTTTTCCTGTGACAGTCATTATCATGATTTAACAAATGCATAAACATTCTTAGTTAAACAACAAATGAATCACAAACAGAAGAGATTGTTCTGTCCATTATCTGATTAAGAGAACTGAGGGGTTCTCTTGATCTGTCATGGCCTAAATAGAGTTCAGTTTGTGACAGAGTTCCTGTCCTCTYGTCAGGCCTGTCCGAGGCCTGCTTCGAGGCAGTAAATCTTGTTTCTTCACTCGAGGTGACCCCTACAGCGGAGGTCTTGACTTTGTTTAAAAGGTTTCATTAAACAGGGATTATGTGGAGCTCTGTCGCTGCTGAGAGKTAAAGTTTCCCCCTCCTGAGTCTTTGCCCTCATTCCAGCACTCTCTCTCCTCCACAGCTGTTGAAAGAAGTCTGGACCGCGCCGTGGGATAATAAAGTCCTCCTCGTCCCTCTCCCACTACCGGGTCAGAGCGAGCAGAGAAGACATCCTCCTCCTCATGTTCCCGCGGGCGGAGCGGGGGGCCCGGCGAGCAGACCCGCCCGCGTCCTGATGGGGATGGCGCTGCAGAGGAGGCTGCTGATCTGCTTGGGGGCCGTCATCTGCCTGCTGGCCATCTACGTCCTGTGTCTGAAAGTGCAGTGGCCCTTCCTGTCCGCCATGACCCGCAGGATCTCCAGGTCAGGATTTTTACAGGCTTTAAACGTTTTTTTAAAATCAGTTCTTCTGTTTACCTCTCAAACTGTCAACGTGGTCCAAACCCAGCAGAATGAGTTTCACCTGTGGACAGATCAAACCTGGAACAGCCGAGGTGACGCTGGCAGCAGCACGTTTTCACATTTATGTCTCTGTGGTCAGAAATGGAACAGGATGAAAACCAACAGGAAGACTTCAGAAAATAAAACTATTCAAATGCAGCATGACTAAAAGTCTCCTAAAACATGTTCCAGGGTTTTAAAAATAATGTTCTAACAGCAGCACTTTTCCATTTAATCATATTCAGTGTCTCTAGCAATCCCCGTGGTGTCTCTGTTAGCAAAATATCTTAGCAAGCAGTGTAAACCATAATCACTGAGTTTACATCTACAACTGATTGTGTGAATACTTCTAAAACATTCACTCAGATTATTATTTATGTTCGTTCTTTCAGCATGTATCTCATTTGGCTCTGACTTTTGCTTTTTCTGCAGTTTATTTTAGGGCTGTCAAATGATTAAAATTTTTAATCTATTAATTCCAAGGTAGCTGTGAATTAATCACGATTAATCTTAAACTTAATATAAAACTTTAAATTTTTATTTATTAGCTAAATAAAATAAGCCATAAGAAGACAAAAAAGAAAAAAAAACTGTACATAATGTGTTACACAGGGAGTTTATTTTATTTTATATTATTTAACCTTTATTTATCCAGGTAAACTGTTTGAGAACCACTTCTCATTTACAAACATGACCTGCATGCACTGAGTGCATTGCAATATACAAACCTACGTATTCAGCCACAGTAAAGTGGTTGTAAATTTTAATTGTGATTAAAATTTTTAATCTATGCCCGTGCAGCACTAAAATTAATCAGTTAACTCGATTAATTTCACAGCCCTAGTTTATATATATTTAACTTTTTCTGCCACTTTGTTCTCATTGAAAATGAATGGAGCCGTCTTTAACATTCACAATGTTCATAACTCTTTCTGTACATTTTCATTTGCTTGAACTTCTTTGCGCTAACTTCGGCTTCTTTCGGCTTTTTGCTGCATGAAACTTTTCTCTTGTTCCTTTCAGCTACATTTCTAATCGTTTTTGCTTTTTTAGCTTCATATTTCCATACTTTTCAGCTGTTCTTTGCCCCTCGAAGCTTTTTGTTTTACAGTTTGTGTTCAGCAGCTTTCAGCAATCATTCAGCTAATTTTGGGTTCCACCTCAACTRTTTTAAAATTCAGTATTAACGGTTTAACATTTAAAATATTTCAGCTAAATTATAAGCATTCATGCTGCATTTTCACAGGAAATGCAGTTTCTCTAACCTTTTTGGAGTGTACCAGATCCAAGTAGCTGAAATAAAAACACAAAAGTAGCTTAAACTTGTGTGATGACAGATATTGATCAGGTCAGCTGATGACTGCAGAGTTGCTCTTTCCTCTGGGTTAAATGTGYAAATGTTGGGTCTTATTAAATAAAAATAATCAACACAACTGCTGTTTTAATAAAACAATTGGTCAGGAAATGAAGCAAAGCTCATCACATGATGTGAATTTGTTCATGCAGACGTGTGAAAAGAGAAGCACTAAAACGAAACAACTGGAGAATTAGCATTTTCTGCAAAAATGCAGCGTGAATTTTTAACGCTGAAAGATTTTTGCTGGGAAAGTTGTACAAAAATGTGCAATTTGTTATAAGATAGYCAAAAACCAGCAGAAAAAAGCTGATAGAAGCACAAAAATTACATTGGCAGAATAACTGAAAAGTAGAGCTGAAATGATAGAAAAAAGAATCTAAAATTAGCACAAAGTTAAAGCAAGACAAAGGCTGTAAAGTGTAGGAAAGGTTAAACTGCTTTAAAGGATGAAGACGGCTTCATTAATCTTCAATGAGGGGAAAAGTTGAATATCTCAAAGTGTAAATAGCTGAAATGTCCTGTAACAGCTGAACGTTTCGATATATGAATGCTTGAAATGGCTCAAATTGTGGACAGAAAGACGTGCTGAAAACGTACAGAGAGCTGGATGATCTCAGTGAATAAAAACAGGAAATGTGAGCAAACAATCTGACATAATGGTCAAATCCCACCATTTATCAGTTATTTTATCTCCTTTTTTTTAGAAGTTTTTTATTTTGAAACCTAAAGTTCTTGTTTTCCAGTCGGTTTATCTCCTGTGGTGAAGCTTCTCACAGATTAAAGTGTTGAGATAAAAGATTTGTGGGTTTTATTGGAGCTGAGGTGAGAAATGACACAGAAATAAACTTCCTGTTTCCTGCTGTGGCTTTGCTGCTTCAACTTCAGTCTGGTTCAAGTTTAACTCGTGAGTTTTTTGTCTAGTTTTTGAATTACTAATCATTTCTGAGCATGCCTTTGTGTCTGCGTTTATAACTCGGACAGATCTGCATTTTTATTTCCATAAATAAACTCAGTCAGTTCTTCTGCTGCATTAAATTACAAAGTTGTTTGAGTTTGTGATGGAAGACGTCCATCTGTCCATTCTGCCACTCTGAGCTGTTTTTAACACAGAAGCTGTTCTTACAGCACCCGTTCCCCCCGCCCTGATCCTGAGCTCTATGGAGTTTCTGTAACCCACCCCACATCTCTGAGTTGTATCATTGTGGTCTCAACAAAGGGGGCCTACAGTTCTCCGGCAGCACTAATGAAAAAAGTCCCTGCAGTTATTGAGCTGGAGCCCCTCTCTCCCACACACAAATGTAAAAAGTCGGCTTTGTTTGCTCGGGCAGAGCTCCAGCTCTAAAAGCCAGCAGGTCCCTGTCAGGTCCATTAAAGTCCAGCAGAGAGGAACCAGGACGTGTTTCTCTCAGAAGGGCAGGTTTGTGCCCGAGGAGTTTCTACTGTTCCGTCTTTAAAAGCTGCTCTGATCTGAAGACGGTCGGTTTTTAAGAAAAGGTTGAAATCTGCTGGCTGTGTTGATGAAAGACTTTATTGTCCTTGTTCAAAGTACGAAATATTCTCTGTTGTGTCTGAGTGAACGGTTTCTGCTCAGTTTAGTTTATTTTTTTCTGAAAGTCTGCCTCCTGACGCCTGCGGTCCAAAATGTTTTTATTAATTTGACGTCAATTAAATCAATGGATGGTTGTATTACGTCTCTGTCAGCGTCTTTGTTTGGTTCCAGATAAATTTAGTTTCTTGTTTAGCTGCTTTATCTGATGTTATCAGCAGGACCGGCTTCACAGGACTGGATCCTGAACCAGGAAGAAGGAAAACAAGGTTTCTGCAGGATTTTATCAGCTGGAATGTTTAGTTTTAGATCCCGCTGCATTAGACAATGTTTTAGTTTCATTTTGTGCTCAAMTAAAACCAGTAAATATTACAGAACAAACTGTAAAACGGATCTTTTAGTGCATTTGAGTGATTTCAGTTCTTGTTTTTTCTGAACATTAAAAGGCAGCTGCTGAAGCTGTAGTTCTGTTTATTGATGAAATAAAAGGATCTGATTTCTAGTTAAGCGTGTGCAGAAAGATCTGTGACCTGGTTCTGATTGTTTGTGTAACAAGTTATTCTTTAAAGAAGTGAGAATCACAAATAAGAAATGATCCCAATGATTTAAGATTTCTGGTTTTTCTGCACCCCTCCCTCAGGCGCTCCAGTTTTTATTCCCCTCTCAGAAACCAAATCCTGTTTGACTTTATGACCCTGGTTCCTTCAGCTGGAACAGTTTGTTTGTAGCCCTCTTCAGGTGGAGGTCCTGTGTTTTCAGTAATGTGTGGATAAATCTGCAGAGGAGACTGATAATGATGGTTTAATATTTGTTTTGTTTTTCACCGCAGCTACAAGGTGTCAAAACCAAAACTGACCCAAACCCTGGACCACCACACGACCACTTTCAGGTCTCAGAAAGTCAAGAGGCCCAAACCTCTAACAACAACAACACCCTYAAAGGCGGTCAGACCCACAGAGCCCCCCTTCATCGGGGACTCTTACATGGTTGATGTCGTCCCACCAAAAACTGTAAGTTTTCGTTTTTATTTAAATCAGAACATTCTGTCAAACTGTAAATTAGATTTTTATTTAATTTTAGCCTGCTGTATTTGAGTTATTAGATTAGTTTTGTTCCATCTGTTCATCAGAATATTACGGTTTGATTTGATATGTAATCCTTACGAAGCAGAGTTCTTGGCCTATTTTTGTGCATGACTTGCAAAACTGCGTTCTGCACTCAGATCTGTACTCGGACAATAAACGGCATGACTCGGCTGAGGAAGTTGAAAAAGTCACGAAACATTCAGGAGACTCAAACGTGTAATTCTGACAGCTCAGTCCAGTCAGACAAGCTGTTTAGGCAGGGCCGTGCAGAGACCACTGAAGGGGCAGGTGCTCAAAGTAAAAAATAAAAGAAGGGGGGCACATAACGGGTAGGGGTGCAACGATACAGAAATTCAGGGTTCAGTTTGATACTTTAGTCTCTCGGTTCATGATTATTTTGATACAAAGAGAAATGTCCATGCCCTTCTTAACTTGCAATTTATTGAAATTTAATTATGAAAAAAAAATTACCTCAAAAGTACATTTGTTTTTAAAATGAAATGTTGTTGAAACAGCAGGTTTCTCAGTGGATCTGTGCTCAGCAATGCAGCCTAGGTGGAGTAGTCGAACACAGATCCACTGATCCTTCAACACGGAGCATCTTCAGACAAGTTGATAAAATAAATTTTAAAAATCTGTGTTGTTCCATACATGGTGTTTATTGAACATAAAGCACTAGATTGAACGGTTTCATACAGATACATGGATTGTTGCACCTCTAATAAATGAATTCCAGGGCGGTRTTGGCAAGAATCTCACACAGCTTTTAGTTAAATTAGTGATGATGATGATACAAAATATTTAGCATTTGTTGTGATCAGAATTTCTTTTTGCAGCAATTAATTTGTAAGTTTCTGTGCAGCTGTATAGTCAAACCCCTCTATAAAACTAAAATGGATCACTCTGAAAGCTGGATGGGGGGCGGGGTTTAAAGAGACGGCCTCAAAATGAGTTGATCTGAAACACACCCCAAAAACTGGGTGAAAGAGGGGCTTGTGGAGTTACAATAAGCAAAGCATTGCAGTTCCACTTTATGTAAACTCTTAACTGAATGATTAACTATGAAAAGGGGATTTAAAAGCATCATATGTCTCCTTGAGGCAATCTCTAAGGGAAAAAACTTCTTTATTTGAGTTCTGATTTTCTCCCCTCAGGTTTGTTTTTCTCAGGCTTAGYTGAGAAGATGCTTCTTAAGTTAATGTTTTACAGACCTGCAGATCTGCTTTATTACACTTCACTCAGGGTCATGTTAGCAGGATGAAGCTTTATGAAGTCTGAGCAACCAGTGTTGATAAAATGATACTAAAGAGGCAATAATAATAAAAATAAAAAAACTGAAACTTCTTAAAGGAATTGAGACATTTTTATTTTTGTGAATGAATGTGATTTAAAGCACTGATAAGTTTGTATAAATTGATTTAACCTGTATTAGCTGTAAAGTGCTGAGTGAGTAGACCAGGACACAGACTGTAAAGCACTTTGAGTGTCCTGGTTAGATAGAAAGGTGTTATAAAATACACTCCATTAACCGTTGCTTGAAAGTTACTTTGGTTAATAATTTAACTTTAATTGGTGTCAATTTCTTTGTTGGTGTTCTGATTAATGTTAAAYCTCAGTCACAGGTTTTTACACTGAAACTCCATCTTTAATGATTAAACTTGAAGTTCGTGTAAACCAGATGTTCGTGTCGACGCTGCGTTTTATGATCTGGTTTATTATTGGAGTTTTATAATGGGCTTGGTGTATTTACTGGGCTGAGTTCCAGTTAAATGTTTAACTTTAAAATGACTTGTGGGGTGTGAAGATCTCACAGAACATTGTTTTTTTTTTTTGTTTTTAACTGAGACTTGGACAGATCACTGAACTCCAGTAGTTCGTTGGAGCTTCATGAAAGTTTTTGTTAAGTAAATTGAGCGGAAAATGGAGGAAGAACTTAAAGCAACAGTCGTGGCAGAGAAACCATCCATCCTGAACTAAAGTTCTGAATATGTCCTGATGCAAATGTTCAGAGGTAAACTGTTAGAAAGGACCTTTGTAGACTGAAGTTCTCTGAATTTTTCTGTTCCTCAAAACCAGTTCCTGATTTTTAAAAGATCAACAATAAACATTACCGGCTCTTTAAACCAACCAGGTTTTCTAATTCTACAACTAGATAGAAAACTGTCCAAAAAATTTTAAATGTTGAAAATCTATATCAGGACTATTMMACTAAATTGCTCCGGGGGCCACAGTTGATGCAGGCAGGGTTCCCACGGGTCCTTGAAATCCTTGTAAGTTTGTGAATTTGAAAAAATTATTTCAAGGCCCTGGAAAGTTTGTGAAAACAGCCAAAAATTACTCTTGTCCTTGAAAATTGTTATGGCAATATTTATTTAACAAAGACAGAAATACGTGGTCCAAGAATGAAGGTACTCTGTGGGACGATCAGCTGAGTTTTATTGCAACAACAGGAAACACAGAACAATCTGCCCTGTCTCTGTGCCTCTATTTCTCTCTGTCACTGTCTCTCCACACTACTCACTGTGTCTCGAGAGGTCATATATATATATATA